CCCCAAAACCCCAAAACCCCAAAACCCCAAAACCCCATACTCCCAGATTACATATAGTCAATGTGTGGTTGAAAATAGGAAAATATAATAAATGATAAATCAGAGTATTCTAAATTAATTGTCTATGATAAATTAAGAACCGCAATCGATGCAATTAATAATATAATATTGTTAATTTATAATTTTTAAGACAGTCTAAAGCTCAAAACAAATCGAAATGGATTCACAATTTACTTTCAATCCAGTGTAATCTAACTAAGTCGGAGGTAAATCCTCTGCCTTTTTATCTTGGAATCAGTTAATAAATCAGATGCCAAGCAGAATACCCCAATAAAATTAGATGATGAGTTAAAACTAAGTGTAATTATCAAATTAAAACATAATGAAAAATTTGAGAAACTATTCTTCAGAGTCCTCGTAGGACGAACAAAATTGCTAGTCTCCAGCATTAAAGCATAGAATGCATAATCTCAATCTCAGCTCTAATTCTTTGACGCTCCTCAACCAAAATACTTTTAGAAGCTAGCCTCTAAACCCACTTTTGAAAGAAATAGATGAGGATAAAATGAGATTGTCAGATCAAATAAATAATTCAGAGAACAGATACAATGAAAAACTCATAAAATAAAATCATATCCTACAAAATCAGAATTAATACTAGAATCCTGAATTTCTTGCATAGAAAGGAATATAGCAACCCAAACCTCTAAAGTTTATCCCAACCTTAGCTTTAATGAATTAGAATATGTACCAGATTGCAGCAATAAGACAAATGATGATCAATAATTAATAATAGAAGGATGCCTAGCTCTTCCGAGATAGGAGACTTAGTTCTGACAACTTAATAACTTAAAGCACATAATCAAACAGTTAAATCTCTCCAAATATCAGTACAAAGATTACGATAAACCAGAGAATAGGGCATGCTATTGACTCATCCTCAGGTTCTTATGGGTCAGTTGCTTAAATTGATACTGAAATGAGCTATAATAACAGTCAAGGAGGGTCTAATGGTTTGGAAAGAGGTTAGAATTCTAGAGATGAAAGTATTTCAAGTTCTGGGTACTCCTTAGAGGGAGAATGTTCTCTAACACGTGACCAGAGACATCAAAAGATCAGGTCTTACTGGGAAAAGAAGAAGAGAAGAAAGAGTCAAAAGCACGTGAGATATGAGTGCAGGAAAAATCTTGCCGAAAAAAGATTCAGATTCCAGGGACGATTTGTAAAATTTGAGCAAATCTCTGAATTAGACCCAGATATGGTTTATAACCCTAACCAAAAAGCCGAGCCTAAAACTAAGCCAATATTCAAAGTCACTAAAAATGCACAGCCCCCACGAGATAGAAGCAGAAAAAGCTCTATGTCAGGTGGAAGTATTGGAGAATAAACTTATCTAGCTGATTTGGAGCGTTAGGCAGACTAACTCAACCTATTCTCTAGTGGTTAAGATTTCAATATGTGTGGTGCTTATGACTAAGAAACATTTGGTAGTCATTCGAGTACTTTAGGTATTCCAGGCTTCAATATTGGTCAAAGTATGATACCCATCAGGCTCATGTAAAAAGTCAATTAGCCGAACGGGGGAATCTTTATGGGTTCTAAAGGTGGACTTACCACTTAAAATTACTCTTTCTCTCATTCAAATTAGACTAAGTAATAAAAACATTCTTATTCAAAATAAGAAAGCTTTGAAATGAAAGTTGACTAGACTAGTAGTGACTAATAAGTTCAATTAGAGTAATAGTTATAAATGGAGGAGAAGAACTTCTATGAAGACTATTACGAAAGATTAGTGTGAAAGATTTGAAATAGCTCTGTGGATAAGTATTATTCCGAAGTAAAACGATATACTTAAGTCGGCGCGTTATTTATCAGGCTGATATTTATAAATAGTTTAAAATCATTAAATTTCTAATAAGTTAAGTTTTACAGTCGATTAAAATTCCTAAAAATTAATTTGAATCACTCAATCTTTGAATATTACTAATCATGGGGTTTTGGGGTTTTGGGGTTTTGGGGTTTTGG